TATTTAAACAGAACATAAACTAAAATAAAATGATGCACATGCTCTGGGACCAAAGACTAATATCTAAGTGTCTGGTTTTAACCATTCAATTTCATTTTAACAATATAACATAAATTCATTTAAACAACAGGTTTATATTTACATCTGAAAATAAACCTTAACCATATACTTAAAATACAGCTCAAATTTTTAAAATTCTACAACAAAACAAAGGTCATCAAAAGTAACTAATGCTGTAGTGATCAAACACATTTCCCAGGAATCCAAAATAAAGTCTGTTTCTTCAATACTGCTAAGTATTGAAAGTATTTATGGGCAGCAGCGAAACTATAGAGAATAAAATTCATTAAATGACATCATATTAAAACTAAGAAGTGCACAGATTCTGGGAATATCTAGCAACATGAGCTAGAAAACACTTCAAAATAATTTAACCACAAGATATCCTAACTGAATTGTTGACCTCATGGCAAGGGGATGCACTGATGAGTGCTATTGAGAGAAGGGTAGGTATTTTGTGACGAGTTTCAAATACCATATAAAGGATTACTTGTTGTTTACATATGCTGAAGAAATTAAACCAAAGCAACCTACCAATGCCCATTAACAATAAACTCCATATATCCCCAAAGCAAACATAAACAGACTACCACAAATGCCGCTGTCTTAGGTACATCCAAGCAAAAGTTTAAATAAATATAAAAATAAAGTCTCTATGCCACTTTCATTCATATAAACAACAAAATTCTCAATAATTTTATTTAAATCTAGAAAGAAATCTGTATGTGAGATTGTAATGCGTCAAAATGCTAAAGAACATTAGTAGTTCAGTTTAAATTGCTGCCATGAAGAGATAAAAATATGCATTAACATGAAAGTAAAAGATCTCAGACTGACATATTATGCAAAATCTGAAGTTATGAAGAAGGTGTTAAATTGTTTGAAACTATTTGTGTTTCAGTAAACAAAACCTTAAGCTATGCTTATATCACTTACAATTACCAAGAGAGCAAAATAATGCAATATTTTTTAAAGCTGATTACAAGTAACATAAATTCAAAAACTAAAACTGTCAAGCAAAATATTAAAGACATTCACAAGTTTTAATGTGTTTGCAATGAGGATGTCAACACTAGTTATCATCAAAATGTCTCCACTTAGCATATTAGTCATTTGATGAAGTTACCAAGAAAGCATAAAACTAGCATAGATTCTCCAAAAATAAATGATGAAATTATTTTTCACCATTTCTGGTATGTAACTTTAAGATAATAAATGCTATGTCCCAAAGTTAGATCAATTTTATGCCAAACTAATAATTCTGACCAATTCTTACATTCAGGGTAAATTACAGTTGTTGACATAATTTACAAGTATAAAAACAAAAAAGCAATAGACTTTCTGAAATAATTGTCAAAACTAAGCAAATCAGTTTAGTGTCCAAATGTTATATCTCATATTGTCAGTGACTTGAAAAATGACCAACACTGTCAGCATCAAGCAGTATTGTGATAAGGTTTATCTACATGCTACCCATATGCAATAGTCCAAAATCAGACATTATATTAGCCACATTTATATATTTGTAAACAATCATATTAGTATGGAATGTTTGTTCAGTAAATATGGAAAATAGTACCTACATTAATTAGTAAACTATTTCAGTCTATATGGTATATTCCTTCAAATTCATGTGAAAATGGATTTGTGAATTTAAACTGTTTTCAGAAACTTTAGATTTACATGTGCATTTATGCTATACAAATTACCACCTTCTGTTGGTGTCTACAATTACATGCTCCTAAGATTTTCAGTGTACACCTTTTTATATATTGGATCAAGCATGGTGTCATAAGTTATTTTTTAAAGAAAGAAATGATGGTTGTTGCCAGATAATATCAATAAGGGTATACTAGATAGCTGACATGAAACAAGCATCCAAGTGCCTAGCTTTATGCTCATTATTACCGGAGCATTTTCCGGTTGATTTTATATTAGATGCATGGGAAGTAATATGTAACAAAATTCAAAGTAGTATCATTTGTTAGATCTAGAAATGAAAATTCTTTGATGTACATGTAGTAAAAAGTGTTTGTGATGAAAGTGGCTGATATATGAAAAAATATATTAGATTTCCATTACTTCTTCATAATATCTTATGCTAAATTTTCATCAAAGTGGAATCTGTACGCTCTTGAACCTATGAAATTTTTATCATTAGCAACTGAATAAAACAATTCATTCACTTTAGCCTCTTTATGATTGGATTATCCATTGGTTATTCTAGCTAACTGACCATTAAGCCTAACAGTTTTGTTTCTATGGAAGTTGGTTTGCACAAAAGTCAGATGTCTCACTAATGCATGTATAAAAATAGGGTTCATACACATTATAAATAAATTTGTAAAGTCACAATAAAATAATTATATACATAACATAGTGATAAAGTGTAAATGGTTTTGACATTACATCTCATCAAACAAAAGGTCCATATGGGTCTAATATTGCTCACCTTGGAAACTGACAAATATAAAGTTCTGAAGAAAAACAAAATCATACATGCAGTGAAACTGTTAAGTGGAAAGTAAAGTGTGTACACTCATTTGCATGCTAAACAACTGAGATTGATTGGTTGGAATACGACTTCTAAAGATTCATTTTTCCTATTCAACAAAAATGAACCTAAGTTGCATAACCCAACTTTACTCCTTGAAAAAAAAGAATCCTAGTGAGCATTACTTAGCAATATCATGTTTCCTGATACCTAGATGAACACTCTTTTTATAATTACTAAAACTACTTGCATTTCTTATCTTTTTTGCTGTAATTCTTTGAAACCACAACTAGCATACTGCATGCAATGGCAGGTATTATTTAAGCTTGCACTTTACTTAATGTCCAAGTGCTAATATAAGAGTAAACATCTCAATCAGTGTGATATCTAAAACTGTTACCCTGAATTTAATCACAATGTTAAAAAAATCTAGAGTGGTAACATGCTCAGCAAACTAGATGCATGACCATATTATTATTATGCTTGGATGTTACTCACCACCATATTTGTTAAAAGCATTAAAAATACACAAAAATGATAAAAAATATCAGATCCAAAATACAGTATTAGAGGGGTTATAGGATTAGCCCATCAGATTATAAAACTTAATTTGTATGCATTGATCGTGCTCATTATTACAATTTTTAGACATCATAATCATATATTCCAAGTTAATCAAACTTTGATCCGAAACATAGCCTTGAAAGTGGTAACAAACAACTGTTGATGGATGGATGCATTAAGGCCAGGTGAGATATAAAAAATGTGAATGGTCATGAGTAACAGAAACTGGTTAAAAACTGATCTAACTTACATCAATTATATTATCAAGATTATGTATCAAGACAGTCGTTTCCAAATGACACCAAAAAAAAAAAACAAAATAAAAAATCCTTAATAAATGTAATAAACACATAAATTACCCATTAAGAATAATAATTCAATAAAACTGAGAAAAAAAAACATAATATGTGACAAAAAATAGCTAAAGTGTTTCAAGTTGATGATAACTTATTCCCAGTAATTTAATAAGTTGCTTAATCATTAGTGACATCATTAACATCTTCAACCAATTAAGTTTCATATATGAAAGGTTAAGATAGCGAATAATAATAATAAAAAGAACTAATCAGAATTTCAATTTGGCATATCAAATATGCTACACAAAGGTGGTACTCCTATTTTGACAGATGTGGTGCACACTGGAATGATGTACTGCATGTTAATATTTTGTTTAATGTATTATATGCAAAAAATTAAAAGATCCCTCCTTTGTTTGCTGATGAACATAAGCAGACCTCTATCAACTATGAGTTCTGAAATTTAGTTCTGTTTGACTGCTTGATAAATTGTCTAAAAATTAATAATACTTGAACACATTATAATCTGATAAATGATATAATCAGGCATTGTTTTATATACAAGGTAAATCATACTTTGAAGAAGCATTGTTGATGTTCACTGGCTTGTCAATAACCTTTATTGCAGGTGACTTAAATATTCTAATTCAAGGCAATCATATATATTATCTTTTGTTTGCCTTCAATTACATAATCTAGCATCTGTTTCAGATTACCTTTATTGGGTTGTTCCACTTTGTGATATTTTTACATATGAAAATAAGCACTGTGGGCTCAATGGCTAGTCTTCACATACATCACACTAACTACTGTGAGCCAGTTAAGTAATACATAAAATGGTGGTTTATACCTGACTGATTTGCCTTTTAATTAAATGTAAAGGGTAGTTTTAGATCAGCTCCAAACATGACTGTTAACTGTTAACTACTATGTGTAACAGGTATATATACTGGAAGCTGCTTTTGGTTCTATTTTCAAAAATTACTGACAATTTTAATTTTTTTTACATGTCTGTATCAGGGGTTTTGGAAGTAAAATTGTGTTTTTAGCATGTCATGTAGTGTTATGGCAGGTCAGCATCTTGAAAATAAATTTCCGCATTGCCTTAAAGTCTTCTCTGGTATATTAGAATTTTTTGGCGAGCCCAGCAGGTACCTCACTTAGAATCTGAAATTAGAGGAGCTCTTACCATTGGGCACTCAGATTGTTTTTAGCACTGACTTAGGGTTGTGTTTTCTTATTACCTGCAGGATAGTCTTCATCAATCCAATGCAACTTATTGTATATACATTTGGCTGCTGTCTCCTAAAAATGACATCTTTAACACTGAACTCTCTTCAGACTATTTTATCCAAATTAAAAAATTATGCATCGACAGGCATAGTGTGACTTAAATTTGTAAGGTATGTAGGAACAGAATAATTCTGAGTTCTCAGGTTGATTGTGTAAGTGCCAGATACATACTTTTGGAGACTGAAGGTAGGGTACAATTCCTAATTAGCCTACCATTCAATTTTTCTTTTTTTGGGGGGGGGAATACTTGGGTTTCTTTTCTGCCAGGATATTGGTTTCTTTTACGAAAGATAACTCTGTTGGCCTAAGTGGTTATAGCATCTGCCTCAGATGCAGGATGTCATGGGTTCAAACTCTAGTTATAGCAAAGACCTATAAAAGGGTACTACCAGCTGTCTAGCCTCAGGTGCTCATCATTAAAGCGTTATTGTTAGGACTGATTGGCCTGGTGTCAGGACAATGTGACTGGGTGGGACATGATGTTAAATGGCTGTGGCATGATACCTCATTGCTAGAAATAACTATAAACTGTCACACTGCTGACATCAAAGCACTATGAATCAAAACTTAAAGCTACACTAAAGTCCCCAAAACACAAACACAAAACTCATTCTTTTATTAAACATTAATTTTGTAATAAATAAAACCAAGAATATTTTCTGAAGCTATTTTGCTGCCAGATTATTTTCTCTCAATGAATTGGCTCCTAGCGAAAATAAATGGATCAGAAGCTAAAATGGATTCTCATGTATGGATATGGAACAAAGTATGCTGCATATTGTTCGCCAGAAGGTTTAGGTCAATAGGTTAAATATTATATATGATTAGTCTGGTGCCATATGGCTTACTGTTGGACTCCACCATGGGTGCCCACTGCTCCCCATCACTTCCAATTTCACTGCCGGAATGTTTTGTTCTACATGTGTGGAACGTAATAGCTAACCACTACATGTCTCCCACCCCCTCCATCACCTCTGAAACATTTTCTTGTAGAGATTACGAACATAAACTTGTTCTCTTTGTTTGAATATAAATAGCCATAGACCTCTACTAACCACCCCCCTAAGAGCCCCCAAGTGGCAGAGTGGTCTAAAGTGCTCATCGTTACGAATCTCTGCCATCTCACCTCTGTGTGGGTTCAAATCTTTGGCTCAACCAATGTGGATATAAGTGCAAACTTCTTTCTGGAATTATTCCCAGGTGCTTCCTCCACTATTTCTACTGGTCGCCATGTATTGCCTATCTTGTGCTGAAATACGGTATTAAACCCTATAACAGCAACAACCACCACAATGACACTTGTACGTTTTACCTATTTGATATGTCACATGCAGTGACCTAAGTTTCTAAAAATAGATTTTCTGACACGGCAAACTAGCCAAATGGCAACCAGTGATACTTTCCGTATTCTTCTTCTTACTGAAAGCGATGTACCAGGTGCTAAATTTGTTCATCTGTACATAGATGAGCATTCCAATATTCAGTTACAGCGATGCTTAGCATGTGGAGTTGTCCCAAAACAAAAAAAGAAGCACACTACTTAAAAATTGAGTCAAAAGAAATGCTATGCATGTCGGGACCTAGTGTATTTATGCTCTCTGGACTACAATTGTTTCTTCAATCGTGCATTTTGTATATTGTATTTTCAGTACTCTACTGTATACAATGGGGCCACGAGTGGTCAAGTGGTCTAAAGCGTTGTCCGTTACAGACCACTACCATCTCCCCTCTGTCTGCGTGGGTTCGAGTCTACACAAGTGGTCAAGTGGTCTAAAGCGCTGTCCGTTACGAACCACTACCATCTCCCCTCTGTCTGCGTGGGTTCGAGTCTAGGATTCGGCAAATGTGGATATGTGAGAAAGCTTGCCAGTAGCTTCTTGTGGGTCGGTGGTTCTTTCCGGTGATTTCCGTTTTTTTTCCCTCCACCATTATACTGTCCGCCAAGAATAGTCTATTGTATGCATAAAAATGACATTAAGCCCCACAACAACAATGTGTTGTAAATAACAGAAATGTAGATTTTCTCCTACCTGTAGTATATTTTATGTATACATTAATCACACAAACCAGAAGTCACCATGACGTGTTTGATTTATAACTATATATTCTTGTATGGTTTTGTACCGTTTGAAACAAGGCACCACATAATACCCACCATTATGTTGATATTCAAATTTACAAGTGCAATTTATTATGGTTATTATTGTTGTTATTGTTCCAGTGCTTATATTATTCTTTCATTATTGATATTGATGATGATGATATTATTATTATTATTATTATTATTATTATTATTATTATTATTATTATTATTGCTAGGGGCCCCGAGTGGCCGAGTGGTCTAAAGCGTTGTCCGTTACGGATCACTGCAATCTCACCTCTGTCTGCGTGGGTTCGAGTCTAGGATTCGGCGAATGTGGATATGTGAGAAAGCTTGCCAGTAACTTCTCGTGGGTCGGTGGTTCTTTCCGGTGATTTCCCGGTTTCTTCCTCCACCATTAATACTGGCCGCCATGAATAGCCTACCGTGTGCTGAAAAATGGCGTTAAGCACAACAACAACAATTATTATTGCAAATAATCCCGATAATTTTGTCATAATTGAATAGATATATAAGTAATAAAAGTTAATGTTATCTTATTTTTTTTGTTGCTATTATTATTCTTCTACTTATTATTATTATTATTATTATAATCATTATTATTATTATTATTATTATTATTATTATTATTATTATTATTATTATTATTATTATTATTATTATTATTGCAAACAATCCTATTAATTTTGTCATAATTGCATGCATATGTAAGTAATAAAAGTTAATATTTTATCTGTTAATGATTATTTTTGCTATTCTTCTGCTATTATTATTATTATTATTATTATTATTATTATTATTATTATTATTATTATTATTATTTGTTGTTGTTGTTGTTGCTGCTGTTGCGGATGGATGCAATGAATGTTCCCTGATGTGATTTTATGGCTTAATTGTAGACTGTAATTTTTAGGATCAGATTTCATGAATCTTTTGGTAACAGTATAATGAACAAGTTGATAAAATTTCAACACTAATATATATATATATATATATATATATATATATATATATATATATATATATATATATATATATATATATATATATATATATATATATGCCCTGAATATGTTGAAATGAAAATTCCAAAGCAACTGTCCCAATTAAATTGTTAGAATGAAGTGTTTTTATATGTGATTGATGTTTTAAACAGAAAAGAAAGAGGAATGTACATGTAATAGAGTTACTATTTCTATTTTGCTTTATGCATCATTTTAAACTCTGCATATTTAATATTTTTAATGCATATTGGTATAAAAGGGTTAATTAAATATTATTCATGCATCATTATACAAATTCAAAATATTTGATCAAGAAATATATCAATGTAGGTTGTTTTTGTAATATGCATTAATGATTTCATTACCCTTTTTCTGAGTCTCATCCTCATCCGTAAATTGGTACAAATTTTGAAAAAATGTGAGAAAATTTATCTGTATTTTCATGTCCAATATTTATGCTATGTGCATACACATTTTCTTAATTGAAAAAGTATATAATAACATTTTGCCTGGAAGTATAATTGTCTGAATATGCTGATAGAAAAAGTAATACAAAAACAGCTGTTTCTAATGATGACAGCTAGCCTTAAAATGATACACATGTTACAAACAATAGGGAAGTACATGTCAAAATAACTTCATTGTCTGCATGTTAATGTTGAATTTCAGAATAATACAAATTTCTTAGATTGTATTTACTGTGCAAGAGGATTTTGAAAATTTACTAAACAACCTACAATAAAAACACATTGAGAAAAGACAGGCTGAATACTGAGTGAAATTACTTTTTGTAACAAGTCTAAATTCTTAATTCTCTCAATGGACAGTTCAACATTATCCTATGTTTGGCAATGTCTTTGGTAAGTGCAGAGTGCATATATATATATGTATCCTTCGTCACATTTGTTTATGGTAACATCACGTCGGCCGTAATCATATACACCTTTCTCCTTGTCAGCCTTTGAAAAACCGTGTCCAAATTCCGGTACCTCGATTCACTTGTACATGAATCATAGCAACAATGCTTAGTGGTCACCATATTAAATAATTACTTTTCCAGATGAATATATAAATTTCATAATACTGCCAGCATTCGTGTTACTATGCGTTGCTAGAAGCTTTGTCCGAAAATAATATGGCCGCAGTCCGGACAATGACATCATGGTTTATTTTTAGCACAAGTCTGAATTATGTACAATCGCTATTCAATGAATCGGCTCATCTCACTAGTTTAATTAACCAATACAACCAGACCAAAAGTTAGCTTAGCAGTTGCAATTACTTATATCTAAACAACTTACTTAAAGCATTTTTTTCCCACCAAGACACATTGCCGGCGAGCAAAAAATATGCCCTAAAACTGCTATTTCAAGAAAATGTATTAGATCTTGTTGTAAAGGAAACTTTATTAATAACTAATTATTTAAATTGGGAAAATAATATCTGATATAATGTAAACAAAATCCTCCTACGTAACTTTTTAAAAAATCCGTTAAATGGCGTCGTGTGTAGGCCTATCTTTCTCGCGCCACAAATTTGAAGTAGATTGTTTAGCGAGGAACACCTTATAACAGCTGGATCTGCAAACCTATTCAATAAATTATTCTTTTAAAATAACAACATGGGTATATTCAACGTGTACTCTTTCTTGAGGCTGATCAGTTACGCTACTCACGATTTTTTTAAAAGTTGATCTTCCAGTCGAAACATACATTGTCACCTTAGTAATAACATAAAGTCAGTCAACTTCATTTCAAATGAATTATTATCAATCAGAATAATAAAATAGTTGAAAAATATTACAGCAGCAGAGAGGGTGAACCCTAAAAAATTTTGCTCGAATCATTAACGAGAAATAAAGGTTTCTACAGAGGGTGAAACAAAAGGTCAACAACGTTAACTGAGTATATTTCCTTACGGTTAAGAACCGTTAGTATAAATCACCTGACTTTGTCAGGAGGTTAGCTCATTTTTGTTATACAATTGTTGACGTATTATTTCTGAGTTTGTCAGGTGATTTTGTTTACTCGTAAAGCGACTCAATTGTTGTCCTTCACCCTCTCTGCTGCTATAAATTAAACAACCAGTATAATATTATCAATAATGAGTATTGGAGAACCACACTCAGCTAAATTAGCTCGAGAGCGATTAGAGGCAATTAAAAAATATCTACCTGTTCATGATTCTGTTAAGCAACAACAACAATCGCGTCAGAAATCTCAAGTTGAATTTGAGGAGGATACAAAACAATTATTTAAGCCT